CGTACGGCTTCACTGAATCGGACGTGGAACAGAACGGGAACGAATCTTCGTTGCCGTGAAGTGAGTTCTAAGGAATACAGAGGGGAGCGCGTACTACGTACCTTCGTTGCCGTGAAGTGAGTTGGGCAACGAAGGGGGAGCGGGTCAGGTATATATAATGTGCGGGTGACAGCGGCCCAAACAGGCGTCAACGTTGGACTATCCGAGAAGCGAGCGGGGAGCGGGCGGGAAGCGAGCAGGTAGCGGGCGGGGGACGAGGATGAGGCGAGCGGGGAGCGGGCGGTAAGCGAGCGTGGCGTAGGTTCGTTCGTGTAACCCCAGCGCGGGGTTACATCACTCCGAGCATGCTCATTTGCTCGTGCGGTCCAGGTTCCGCTTGTCTAGTGCATGGAAATGGTATTAAACGATCCTTCAACCCCGCAACAGTGACCTGCACCCACACGCTATGAAGCTGGGAAGGGGCAAATCGCCTCTGGATGTAGATGAGAGTGCGGTACGCGATGGGCGTGCCACAGAAGTAATCTGCATGCCCATTCGATGGGCATGAACCAAGCTTTGGGCATTGCGATGCCTAGGATACCCCTGCCAATTAGTACGATGATCGCTCGGAAATAGCTCGCATAGTGTAATCATTGTAGCAAAAAGCTGGTCACTCAGGTGTCAACTGTTCTTGTGCCATAAAATTGTAAACATCCGATGCCGAGCATGGTCAAGGGCAGCAAATGTAGTCTGTCTTGAACACTGCCGGGGGTGAGCAGTCATCTTGAAGGGATTGAACGTCTGCAAGGCTGACGTATTTCTTTACTCTTTGTGCACGAGTACAATATAAATTATCATGATCACCCGGGAACACAAATATCGGGACTCGCAGTCGATGCTGGGAATGGCCTCACGCGCCGGACCACCTGTGCACGGCATGTTGTGTCCGAATCGACCATTGCACCGGTATCCTACATGTGCACCAGAGTAATATGCGGCCTGCTCTATTCTGCTAGTATGAGTGCTATCAAATGAGCATAACACGTGTGCAACAAGAAATAAGTCGGGGTTGAAAGCAGGAGTCAATCTAGCTCTCAGAGCTGCAGCGGCTTTGAACAACATTACCAAAATAGGCAGCTGTGTACACGCATATTTTGGCCGCAATCACTCGTGTGCACATCTTGCCATGCCACACTCTCAAACCACCGCAACGGGGATGTGCACAGTAGCCTCGCTGCGTCTCTTTCCGGCGTCAAGTATGATCATTAGCGGTACGCGAGCAAGTGACGCTTGCGCGGATCTTGACTGCGGGTCTATCCGCCAACACCGCGCCGGCCGCCTCGGGCTTGGAGTGGTCTGGACATCTTGAAATTAGATGCGACTGATAGCCGTCAGCGTACTACTGCTGTCGGGGTGCCTCACAACACACCCTGGATATTATTCTGCCCATAGGAAACAAGATTGCCAGTGGTAAAGAGGTTAGAAGTGGCAGGGAGTAGGAACTGCAGTGCAAGGAGCACTGTGCTCTATACACTACAGTTCCTGCACTCGCCAGTTCTCAGAGTATGACAGAGCCATGGCATTTCCTGAACCGGGTCCGATCACACCAAACCAAGTGCTACAATTGGTCCGGCACACGGAAATCATCTGGTACAGGCGAGAGCAAGTCTGGAACGGGACGATTGAATTGTGGCCGCCCCATAATAGCCGATTGCTATCATCCTTCCGCAGCACACCGCTCAGAAATACGTACATACTTGCTGCTGACCGAGTCAGGGTCAGCCGCGTGGCTGTAACCACCGCAGACGAACCAGAGAGACGTAGTTACAACTCATACGTGTTCCTCGACGTCCATGCTCCCCCGTCTCACCTGCCGCTCTGCCGCACCACCTGCCCCTTCCCTCGTCAATCTGTCATTCCAGCTCTACCGCCCCCACGAGCACGCCCATCGACAGCCTCAAAATCAGTGGAGGCGCATGCGGGAGTCATCGGAGGTCTCTGATGCGAGCAAGTTCGTAGGTCGGGGTCTGGCGACAGTATGGATGAGTGCATCTGTGTTTATGAATGGTAAGCCCTTCATTCTGGATACCGGAGGACAGTGAAGCTAACGTAGCCACCGGCGTACCCCGAGACGTCTTTGTGCCCACCTGGCGGCCCAATACCGTACAGGTGTCGTATTTGAGCGGCCGAGGGGAGTGATGCGCTCAGCGCCTTCCGGTTGTGTCCATGCTCGCAGCATAGGCCGGTGTGCGATGTGACTGACCGGACGAACAGTGCGGGACGCAGCAGAGTCTTCCTGCCACTCCGTACACAGCTTCCGTGCAGCTCTGCGGGGTGGACATCCACAGCATCTCTGCCATCCCACAATTACAACGTCGGCCCTCTTGCGCTTGGTGCGACGGTGCTTGGCATGCATGCAAGAGCCCAGGCGGCATCCCGAAAATGCGAGTCGGCGATGGAAGGAAGGGGGCGCTCCTGGAAAATGACTCTCCCAGGTGCGTCGTAAGCTTGTAACTTCTCAGGTTCGCTCAGCTGATAGCGTAGTTGTCCAGGCAAGCTGGACGCTTCTCGGGAAGCCCTGTGCTCGTCTCCTGAGGGTGCACGAGCAGCTCAAACCCCTCGCGCTGCCAGGAGCGCGCACTTCCGGGAGGCGGGGCGACAAGATACGCACGGTCTGCTCGCGCGGCGGCCTGCTGTTCGGGTACCAAGATACAGCAGGCTCGGCTTCATCAGCCACATACGGCGCGGGGGATCAACTCCTTCAACGTGTTCAGAACGGCCGGCGGTGCCCCTCGCAGGGGCGCAACTGTGCAGTATGCCTGTCTCCATGTCTCGACAAGGACGGCAGAGTGATCAATGACAAGACTTACAGATTATGAACCGGCGCGTGGTCAGGGTCATGCGACGCATGAGTTCGCGCGGTACGCCTTCGTCGGCAGCACTCAGTGGCAAGACCGCACGGTACAAATGCCCGAAACTCACGTTGTCCCGGGATCTTCCTGCTCACCTTCCCGCCTCCATCACGCGCATCTCGGTCAGTGGCAAACAGCGAGCGGGCGCTGGGGCGCGAATGTGGCACACTCGACAGCGGATGAGCAGCAATCTCGTGTTGCATGTGCGGGGGCAAGCGCTTATCGTGTTCAGCCTGCTCACATTTCCGCTTCCATCACGCCCAGTGGCGTGTAAGTGTGTGGGAAGCAGATGCGGGAAGCTCGGGGCAACGCCGTACCATGCGAGCAGTAATTTCGTGCCGCTAGCGCGCCTGGGAAGTCCGGGCGGAGGCGGAAACGAGGGCACCTCCGATCGCTTGGCTGTAGAAGGCACGGTACGTACCTTGATTTTCTTCTGCAGATTCGAAACTTGCGCTGACTTGTATCTTGCGCACGACCAGAACAGCCCCCAGGGACGAGCGCGAGCGAAGGAAGCGAGAGGGTGGTCGTGGAGTGAAGCCAAGGGTACGCGCGCGGCGCGACTTCTCGCACGAGCTGTGTCTGAATAGGCGCCCACGTCAAAGCAGACGGGCGAAGTTGTCTCGCCGCTCGTCTCGCTCTCCTACGACTACGGGGCGCTACTGGATACCTCTTCCTGCGTCGTCCGTGCTCATCTCGCATTCCAGTCGCTCTGCCCACATCCCATGCCCAGTACTTACTTCTCGCAGGCGTCGTTGTCTCTGGAGCGCCCGTTCCGCGTCCGGGACCCACCTTAGCGAGGCGCGGACGAACGCGCGGTATGTGCCCTGTCATGTTCTGGATTCCGGCTTGTGCTGACTCGTACAGCGTTGAGAACCGTATAACTAACGCCCCAGATCCGCAGAGTGAGACCGGGAGAGGGCGGCGGAAAGGTCGTGGTGGTGCAGAGGAGAGACGCGAGGCGCGCCGTGGACTTGGACACAGGATTGGCACATTAAGCGCCCGTGTCTTTTGGAGTGCGCGAAGTCGATTTCGCAGGGCTACGACTTTCGTACCGCTGCGTGCCTCTGTAGTATTGACCGTAGAACACCCCCAAATGCGATTTCTCTGTCCCTGCGATCTACGGAGTGCGCGTGCGAGCCCAGCGCGAACTGTGCTCTTCGGTGTTCTCCCCGCCTCCCTATGCACCGTGCGGGCGCGTAACAAGACCCCATTCATCGCGCAGAGGACACGAATCCATCTGGGAGATTCGAGTGCGCATCCCAGATACTCGGACACGCGAGATCCACCACCTCCCGCCCACTACCTCCGCCTCGAGGCTCGCACCTCACTCGCTAACACCGAGCACAGCCACCGCGGCGGACGCGCCGCCATCCGCGAGCAGTCGACTCCGAGTCACCCGCGCACACCGGTTCGTGGGTCGACGAACGAAATATATTGTCCTGTCTACGTATGTACATGCGCCGCCCGCGTGCCCCGCCGACCGACCCGCGCGCCATCTCGCACCTCCCCCGTCGCCTGCCTGCCTCGCACCCGCGCCGGCTTCGCGCCCGCACCCGCACCCGCGCCCGCGCGCCCAACCACCCGCCGTCAGGTACCTAACACGTGAAAGCAAGGTTAAGCCATTTCCGCGCCGGACATTGGCAGATAGACGCACTTGTGACCGTCGTCCGTGCCCAGCCAGTCGTTCACATAGAGGATGTAATCGTAATCTTCGTTGTCGTATCCGTCATTGTGCACCGGTTTGCTCGGCTTCGTGAGAACGCGACGAGGGTTATGTGTCGACTCGTACTTGAACTGCGGGTTGCAGATGTGGTACGTCTCGACGATATTTGTCGTCAGCTGCTTCAATGGCTGCGGGCGGTCGTATAATCAGCATCCGGCGATAGGGCATGTCTAATAATGACACGCACGGTCATCACGGTCCCGCTGGCGTCTACTCGTCGTCCAACCGGCTGGGGAATGAATGGCCTCAACTCCCGTTGATCACGTATACGTCTCAGGCCAGACGCTCTGCGCTTCGGCGGTGGTGGTTCCACGGTCATAGGTTGGTGTTCTTGTGCGAAAAACTGGGCCGAGCCGTGCGGAGAGTGACTGAACGACAAAGGCGTCGCCGGTTGCGACACGGACGTCTGGCGAGGATGCCGTTGCGCTGAGAGACTATTGTTGGAGGGCGCAGGACTTGTGGTATCCGTAGAGTAGCCGCCCGAGTAGAGGGAAGGCGGACCACCCGACTGTGGCGAGTATGCGGGTACTGGCGGCGAGACCGCCTCCCGCTTGACCTGCGAGTGCGAGCGCGAATGGGTTTGTGATTGGTAACCGCTCGTGGCGAACGGTTTCTGGTCCGTCGTCTGGTAGCCACCCCCCGCAAACGGCTTCTGCTCGCCTGTCTGATACGCACCTCCGATGAACGGTTTCTGCTCCGTCGTGGGCGAGTACGGGTAAGAGTTCGATGACGGCGAGGAGTACTGCTGTGGCGAATACGGGTCGAGCAGATTGTTGGATTGCGGAGCCCTATGGCGGGGACCGGGGGGCCCGCGACGAGCTAGAATCGTGCTGCGTTTGGCTTCTCTTGGGCGTGTGGATCGTAGGACCGGCGTAATAGGCATCC